TGAAGCAGCCCCCAGCAGCCCCCCCTCCTCGGAGCCGCCCCCCCCCGGCACCCAGAGTCCTGAGGTGCCCCCGGGGGGGGGCTCCGAAGCCCCCGCGGGGCCAGCGGAGGGGTGAGGGGTGGTGCCCCCCATCCCCCCCCATCCCCTGGGGTACGGTGCTTAATAAAGGCCTGGGAGCACCTCTGGGGTGTGTCTGTTTTTTGGGGGGGCACCTTAAAGACCATTGAGTTCCAACCCCCTGCCCTGGGCAGGGACACCTCCCACCAGACCAGGTTGCTCCAAGCCCCCTCCAACCTGGCCTTGAACCCCTCCAGGGATGGGGCAGCCACAGCTTCTCTGGGCAACCTGGGCCAGGCTCTCACCACCCTCACACCAAAGAAGTTCTTCTCAGCTCCATCTCCTCATTTTTGGTTTAAAACCCTTCCCCCTCCTCCTCCCCCTCCGGCTCCACTCCCCAAATACCATCGCCAGAGGGATCTAAAAGCCGGTGCTGAGGGACACGGGTCAGTGGTGGGTTGGGCAGTGGTGGGTTGATGGTTGGTCTTGAGGACCTTAAAGGTCCCCTCCAACCCAGGGAAGTGGTGGAATCGCCAGAGAATCACAGAAGGTTTTGGGTTGGAAGGGACCTTAAAGCCCATCCAGTTCCATCCCTTCTAGGGGCTGGGATGTCTTCAATGAGACCAGGTTGCCCAATGCCCCGTCCAACCTTGGCCTTGAACCCCTCCAGGGATGGGGCTTCTCTGGGCAACCTGGGCCAGGGTCTCACCACCCTCTGAGGGAAGAAGTTCTTCCCCACATCTCATCTCCATCTCCTAATTTTTGGTTTAAAACCCTTCCCACTTGTCCCATGGCTCCCCTCCCTGATCAAGGGTCCCTCCCCATCTCTCCTGGAGCCCCTTGAGGGACTGGAAGTGGCTCTAAGGTCTCCCCGGAGCCTTCTCTTCTCCAGGATGAACAGCCCAAACTCTCTCAGCCTGTCCACACAGGGGAGGTGTCTCCATCCCTCTGATCACCTTGGTGGCCCTCCGCTGGACCCGTTCCAACAGGTCCATGTCCTTCCTGTGTGAGGACTCCAGAGCTGGACACAGAGCCCCAGGTGGGGTCTCCCCAGAGCAGAGGGGTGGAATCACCTCCCGTGACCTGCTGGCCACGCTTCTCTTGATGCAGCCCAGGGTGGGGTTGGCTCTCTGGGCTGCTGGCTCATGTGGAGCTTCTCACCCACCAACACCCCAAGTCCTTCCCCTCAGGGCTGCTCTCCAGCCGTTCTCTGTCCTGGGTTTGTCCCTGGGATTGCCCCGACCCTGCACTTGGCCTGGTTGAACTTCATGCGGTTGTCACCGTCCCACCTCTCCAGGTCCCTCTGGATGCCATCCCTTCCCTCCAGCGTGTCCCTGTGCCACACGGCTTGGTGGCATCGCCCAACTCTCTGAGGGTGCCCTCCATCCCACTGTCCATGTCTCCAACAAAGATGTTGAACAGCACTGGTCCCAGCACCGACCCCTGAGGGACACCACTGGTCTCCAACTGGCCATGGAGCCGTGGACCACGACCCTTTGAGTGTGGCCACCCAGCCCCTTCCTGGGCCACCCAGTGCTCCATCCCTCCAGCGTGACTTTCCGATTTGGACACCAGGATGTGTGGGACAGTGTCACACGCTGTGTGTCCCATCCTCCACGGGGAAGGGTCCCCTGTGGTGCTCTGGGTGTCCCTCTGTCCCTCTGGGTGTCCCTCTGTGTCCCTCTGGGTGTCCATCAGTCCCTCTATATGTCCTCGTGTCCGTCTGCCTGGCCTTCCATCTCCCTGGGTGTTCCTTTGGGTGTCCCTCTGTCCTTCTGGGTGTCACTCTGGGTGTCTGTCTGTCCCTCTGCATGTCCCCATGTCCCTCCCCTTGTCCTTCCATCTCCCTGGATGTCCCTCTGTCCCTCTGTCCCTCTGGTTGTCCCTCTGTCCCTCCAGGTGTCCCTCTGTCCCCCTGGGTGTCCCTGTGTCCCTCCGGCTGTCCCTCTGTCCCTTCGGGTGTCCCTCTGTCCCTCCCTCTGTCCCCCTGGGTGTCCCTCTGTCCCTCTGTATGTCCCTCTGTCCCTCCGGGTGTCCCTCTGTCCCTCTGGTTGTCCCCCTGTCCCTCCGGGTGTCCCTCTGTCCCTCTGGGTGTCCCTTTGTCCCTCTGGGTGTCCCTCTACCTGTCCTTCCATCTCCCTGAGTGTCCCCCTGGGTGTCCATCAGTCCCTCTGTATGTCCCTCTGTCCTTCTGTCCCTCTGGGTGTCCCTCTGTCCCTCTCAGTGTCCCTCTGGGTGTCCATCCAGGTGTCCCTCTGTCCCTCTGGGTGTCCCTCTGGGTGTCCCTCTGGGTGTCCCTCTGTCCCTCCGGGTGTCCCTCTGTCCCTCTGTCCCTTCGGTTGTCCCTCTGTCCCCCCGGGTGTCCCTCTGGGTGTCCCTCTGTGTGTCCCTCTGTCCCTCTGTCCCCCTGGGTGTCCCTCTGTCCCTCTGGGTGTCCCTCTGTCCCTCTGTCCCTCCGGGTGTCCCTCTGTCCCTCTGTCCCTCTGTCCCTCTCAGAGGGGTCGCTCTCCCGGCGGAGCTTCGACTCGGGGGGTGTGGCTTAGGCTCGACTGGGGCGTGGTTTCGGCTGGGGGCGTGGCTTTGGGCCCAGAGAGGGCGTGGTTTGTACTCGTGTGGGCGTGGTTTGTGCCCGCCGGGGGCGTGGTTTCGTCTGTGCGGGGCGTGGCCACGCGTGACTCAGCGCGTTGCCATGGCAGCGGCGGCGGCGGCGGAGGGGGGGGGCGGCGTTAACGCCCTTCCGGCGGCGGCAAGATGGCGGCGGCGGCCCCGGGGGCGGGTGAGGGCTCCGCCGCGCTCCCGCCGCAGCCGCCGGAGCTGAA